CGTGGAGGCGGCGGCGGGGAAGCCGAGCGATGGCTCGCGGCCCCGGCTCGCCGCCGGCCGGGAAAGAGAGGCGCGGGTGGTGCGGGCTTGGGGCCCCCGGTTTCGCTTGCCCCCCCGGGACGCGGGGGAGCGAGGCGGGAGTTCGTTCGGCCGCTGGCTTGGTGCGGCGGAAGCCGGGCATTCGCCCGTGCCCCCGCTCGCCGCCCCGCCGGGGGGTGGAGGGCGCGGGGCGGCCTGGCTGAGCGCGGCTCCTCTCTCTCCGCAGGCGCCTTCTGCGGCGGGCGGACCGACTCCTCGGCGCGGCGGGGCCGGGGCAGGCTGGACGCAGCATGATGCGCGCAGTGTGGGAGGCGCTGGCGGCGCTGGCGGCGGTGGCGTGCCTGGTGGGCGCGGTGCGCGGCGGGCCCGGGCTCAGCATGTTCGCCGGCCAGGCGGCGCAGCCCGACCCCTGCTCGGACGAGAACGGCCACCCGCGCCGCTGCATCCCGGACTTTGTCAACGCGGCCTTCGGCAAGGACGTGCGCGTGTCCAGCACCTGCGGCCGGCCCGCCGGGCGCTACTGCGTGGTGAGCGAGCGCGGCGAGGAGCGGCTGCGCTCCTGCCACCTCTGCAACGCGTCGGACCCCAAGAAGGCGCACCCGCCCGCCTTCCTCACGGATCTGAACAACCCGCACAACCTGACGTGCTGGCAGTCCGAGAACTACCTGCAGTTCCCGCACAACGTCACGCTCACGCTGTCGCTCGGCAAGAAGTTCGAGGTGACCTATGTGAGCCTGCAGTTCTGCTCGCCACGGCCCGAGTCCATGGCCATCTACAAGTCCATGGACTACGGGCGCACGTGGGTGCCCTTCCAGTTCTACTCCACTCAGTGCCGCAAGATGTACAACCGGCCGCACCGTGCGCCCATCACCAAGCAGAACGAGCAGGAGGCCGTGTGCACCGACTCGCACACCGACATGCGCCCGCTCTCGGGCGGCCTCATCGCCTTCAGCACGCTGGACGGGCGACCCTCGGCGCACGACTTCGACAACTCGCCCGTGCTGCAAGACTGGGTCACGGCCACCGACATCCGCGTGGCCTTCAGCCGCCTGCACACGTTCGGCGACGAGAACGAGGACGACTCAGAGCTGGCGCGCGACTCGTACTTCTACGCCGTGTCCGACCTGCAGGTGGGCGGCCGCTGCAAGTGCAATGGCCACGCGGCCCGCTGCGTGCGCGACCGCGACGACAGCTTGGTGTGCGACTGCAGGCACAACACGGCCGGCCCGGAGTGCGACCGCTGCAAGCCCTTCCACTACGACCGGCCCTGGCAGCGCGCCACAGCCCGCGAGGCCAACGAGTGCGTGGGTGAGTGGGGCACCGCGGGGACGCGGGCGGCGGGCGGGGACGCGGGCGGCTGCTCTCGGGCCTCGCGACCGAAGGTTCCCGAGGATCGCCCGCTTCGTTGATGTGGTGGGGATGGTGGGAGGTGCGTACGTGGAAATCCTGCACCGCGGAGCGCAGAGAGCTGGTCCGCTCGCGCTCGTGGCGCCGGCCGTGGACGCTCGGGTTTGCGTTCACTGCGCTGTGCGAAGCCAAGGTGCGGGGAGAGGGGCTTTGCCGAAAATTTGCCGACCGGTCCCCCTAACCCCAGATCCAAAGGCACACACTCTTTGCCTTCCCCTCAGTTTGGCGGGACCCTGGCGTCCACCTCCGCCCCACCCCCCCCTCCCCTAGGACTGCAGCTGCGCGCGCTGTTGGGGACCCCGGCCCGGTTCCCGGGAAGTTCCAGCTCCACGACCACAAATCCCTTGGGAGATGGCAAAGGGATTTGCAGTTTGGGGCCAATTCGGTACACGACGACTATCACTCCTGCGTCCTCCATTTGTCTTTTATGGTTTGAAAATAGATATATATTTTTGTTTTGGACAGCCTGTTTGTGTTAGCAAAAGAATGATGTGATTTAAATTAATTACTATCTACAGATTACAAAAGAGAGTTCACTAATTATTTTAAACTAATTCAATCCCGCTCCAAAAAAGAAGTATACCAGATTTTGTTGTTGTTGTTAGCGTCAGGGTTCGGTGAAATTAAACAGTTCCGAATTAACTAAGGGCCCAGATTCTCGATTTCATGGGGTTTCAGTTCCTGAAAGAGAAATCTGACAAAACCGGCACTGGTGGATACTGTTGGGTCGGAAATGAGGTTTTTTTTTTTTTTTTTAAAAAAAAAAGGATCCGTTCTGTTTCTGAATCTTACGACTTTGCTGCTGTAGAAACTCTGCAGCATCAGTTTCTTCCCAGGAGGACAAAAAAAAAAAAAAAAAAAAGAAAAAAAAAAGGAGGGGAAAGGTAGTAAGACCATACTCTGCTTTTCCAGTATGAGATGTAAATGCCCAAATTTCATGTTTTATTTTAATGAAAATCATCAACGTCAATCGTCAATATAGTTGGTCAGTACGCCCTTGGGTGTTCATCTTTCGTGGAATATAGATGTTTCCTCCCCCTCCCCCCAGCCCCACACAGCCGGTGTGAGTCTCTTCAATTGCTTCGGCCTCTGAGGCACATTACAAAGTTTGCTGGTCCCCACAAACACACGTTTTGAGGTCTGGTTCTGATTAATTGTGTCATGTTGTTGTCGAATAGTTTGTGCCTCATGGATGTAGACTTTTGGAATGGAAAACATGTTTTGGAGAAGCCCGGTCGGCGCTGAGGCCCAGGCAGGCGTCCTGGTCTGAAGAGGGCTGTTCTCCTGTTGCGTGGCGGGGCCTCCATCTTTGCACTCCAAGTGTACGCTTTTGCAGACCTAATTGTCCTTCCCCCTCCTTTAAGGGACGGAACTGGTTGCCTGTTGGAAGAGACTTTTCAGGATTCGGTGGCGAGATAGTGGTTACACCCCGGCTTAGTCGTCTTGGAGAATTAAAACTCCTTTGATCTGCTCCATTTCTTCAGAACTGTTGGTTTTTCCCATTTCTTCTCTTTCTTCTCCCCTTTCCTCTTTTCTTTTCTTCCTTTTGTGCGTAAAAACCTTTTATTGACATTTAAAAGGCCTCCCAGGGTTTTGCTATCAGTTTTAGTATGTATGTGCATATGAAAGATAACTTCTCATTGTCACCAGCAGGGTCTGATTGGAAAAAACACAAGTGAATACATTGAGGCAGATAAACTGGCTATGACGGTAGCATTTTACTGGCTTGAAGATTCCTCTTAGCAGGGGTGGTATTGTTCAGATACCACCCACTCCCATCTCTCCCTGTCAGTTTCTGTAACCCGCAATTGTTATAACAATGGCCATGTACTTGAAATAATTTCTATAGTCGAGGATTTTGTCTTTTGACCAAAGCACTAACTCTGTGCACAAATTGGATTGACCGGGTTTTTTTTTTTTTTTAACCAAATTGAGCAATCAACATATTAACTAACGTAATTAGTAAGCCTTTTTGTTCAAAAAGTTTAATTAGGCCTAATAAGTACATAATCTACATGACAAATAATCGGCTAGCAATATTTTCTGGTTTTTACTGAAGTTATTTGAATTCTCAGTAGTTAAAGTATCTTTAAATCTTGCCAATTATTCAGTCATCTCATAAAAGCCAAGCCAATTCAACGATGTTAAAGTTATTTATAGTTTCCTTTTTGAATAGATGTTCTGATACCTTGTAGATATAGCCTCGGGAATGTCAGGTTGACTTCCCATAAAGTCTTAATTGAAGCCTTAGTGATTTTTCCAGCATTCCGCAAAAGAGAAAGCCAGCAAAGACAATTTAGAAGTGATTTACAATTAAAGGTCGAGCTTTTTATGAAAAGGCCCTGAAGTGGAGATATGTGAATGAATTAGTATTTGACAGGTGTTCTGAGACACTACAGGGCACTGTGCTAGGAAAAAGCATTAATGAATCCTTCAAACACTAACTTTTGTACTCTCAGCGGCTCAGATTTTTTCCCCCAACATAATCCCATCTTGTGAATTTCACACTGTTGACATATTAAGTCAAGCTACCCAGATTATTTACAACTAAGGCAAAGTATATTTTTAATTCTCAAAATGAGTTTTGATTAAAAATGAAGCATTATCACTGTCTTTGCCTTTCTAAAATAATAAGACATGACATAATAAAGTGGCATCGTTCCCTAGGTTAACCCTCTCATCCCCGCTCCCTCCCCCAGTCCTAAAACTTGGAAAAAAATCGATATTCTTATTTGACTAAATGGTTCTACACAGGGCTGAGGTGCTTTCGGTTTACTAAGAAATGCATATATCCTATCGGTTTTCTTTGGTCCAGCTTTCTTTTTGGGGTTGTTTCAAGGTTAAGTTCTCTATGGAATAAACATGAACTTTTATAAGGTCCAATTTTATTTTAAATGCAATTTTGGACTTCTTCCGGAGAAGAAAAAACCCAAAACAATATGAAAGAGAAGACTATGTATAACGTTACGGCCTCGACAGCTCTCCGTGGAATAACTAAATACTTTCTTCCGCCCATATGTATCAGCAGTGTTCACATGCTCTTATACACATGTGCATTTATATTCATTGTGTAAAGAAGCGTCCATGCATGGTGGTGGGGGGTGTACATTCAAGAGAAAATGCATGAACAGTTTTAAACCACCTGGGTTGCTAGGCCCTTTTACCCCTCTTCCTTTTTTGAAAAAAAGAGCATCTGAAGACCATATTGTGTTTCATAAATTATTGACATCAGTTTTAATCAGTGTCCCCCTGACGTCGGCGCTGTGTTAGTATTTAGTGCCTGACGAAGCATGCTGTTTAATCTTACTGTGGGGATGTCAGCATGAACCCCTGCCTGGTTTGTGACAGGGTGAGCTTATGAAAACTCGTTTTGCGACTCACTCTATGGCTTGGCGTTGCCCAGCTGAAACCCAAAACCCACACAAAAGACGTCTCTTCGAGATGAGCACCGTGCAGGGCTGGCCTCCTATGGTCATGGGTACCTGCAACATAATGCTTGTAATTGTTTAAACATGGCTTTGGGAAGGGGTTCCTCAGGCTGTAAATGGCTCTGGTGCTTGGGCCTACCATCATCTTCCCCGGCAGGAGAGAGAGGTTATATGGGAGGCGTTGCCCTGAGAAATCTAATGCTCCGATAAAGACTCTTGCAAAATCAGAAGGCTAAAATGATTTGCTGCTCAGTCTGGTACATAGGGATAGATAAGTGAATGCTTTTATAGTCCTAGTAATTATTGTAATGATTGTCATAATAATTACGTAATGTAATCATAATGTTAATGATTAACCCTCAATAATCATAATGTTAATTATGATGAACTCTTGAGGGCTTATTTTTTGCCAAACACTCAGATTAATTTAGTCATTTAATCACTGTGACTATGCTAATAATAGGCCCTATTATTGTCCTTATTTTACAGAGGAGGAAACCATAACCGAGAGATATTAAATGGTTTACCCAAAGCCATATAGCTAGTAGGTGGTGGAGCTAAGACTCCAGTCAGATGCTTTATGCTTGGTTTTATTGCATCCTCTGTGCTGCCTCCCCATAGAACGGATGCATGGATAAATGAACGGCAGTTACATGTACAAGCTGACCTCAGAGATACTGCGGGTTCAGTTTCAGACCACGGCAATAAGGCAAGTCACACAAATTTCTCGGTTTCCCAGTGCCTATAAAAGTTGTTCACACCATACTGTAGTCTATCAAGTGTGCAATAGCATTATGTCTAAAAAAATGTACATACCTTAATTAAAAATTACTTCATTGCTAACAAATGCTAACCATCGTCTGAGCCTTCTGAGAGTCATAGTAGTAACATCAGAGATCACCGATGACGGATCACCATAGCCCATGTAATAATAATGAGAAAGTTTGAAATATTGCAGAGAATTACCAAAATGTGACACAGAGGTATGAAGTGAGCAAATGCTGTTGCAAAAACAGCGCCAATAGACCTGCTCGAGACTGGGTTGCCTCACACCTTCAAGTTGTAAGAAACACAATATTTGCGAAGTTCAATAAAGCAAAGTGCGGTAAAGTGAGGTCTGCCAGTAGAGGAGAATTCGAGAATAGTCAGAACAGTCTGTTATCTAGCAAGCTTGTTACCTCTTGCTAGAACTGGAGGTGTGTTGTATTGCATGACGTTATGTCATATGATATCATACTCATACTTATTATGTTCATACATACTTAAATACGAAATTGTATATAAGAAGTCATCCTTGATTGTAGCCATCAGGCCTAGTGGGAGCTGGGAGTTTTTTTTGTTTTGCGGTACGCGGGCCTCTCACTCTTGCGGCCTCTCCCGTTGCGGAGCACAGGCTCCGGACGTGCAGGCTCAGCAGCCATGGCTCACAGGACCAGCCGCTCCACGGCATGTGGGATCTTCCCGGACCAGGGC